AAATAAACACTGAAAAAAAAAGGTTTTTTAACAACTAAGGCCTATAAATCATTATTTAAAAACAGTCTACAAAAGCATGATTTCAAGAAAGTCAGTCCCTAAGGATATACCATCACATAAAACTAGGCATAGACTACATTAAGGAACATAACCCCATACTTCAGACGCTCAGGGATTGAGACAAATGTTTGTATAATGTTCTTAACTCGCCCCTACCTTGTATACTGTTATAGAACATTTACTTAGACCTCCTCCCCACCAATATTTTTCAACTCACAATTTCTTAAAGAGTTAACACACATATCATGGGTATCACATTAATTCAATGAAGAGGCCTTGTCATATCTCAAAATGATTTGAGCTTTAATGAGTAATGGGGAAATTATTTGCAAGAAACTTGTATTAATCAATATATTAACTCAACTATTCTAAATCATAGTCCTTGAGGGAAGAAAACAAATATAAAAATTAACGCGTCTTTATACCCCTGGCTACCAACCTTCCCTCTAACTAAACTTAGGGAAGAAGCTCATGTTCAACGTGTATTTTGTGTGCGCAGGCTCAAAACTACACTTAGAGGGAACATTACTGTCCAACCACATTATAACACTGTAGGGTGTAGTATTTTTGTATTATATAATATTTTCCTTCGGGTACGAAACCAGAACCCCACTGTTATCACCCCTCACCCGAAATCACCCCCCCCCCCCCCCAAAAAAAAAAGCTCTGGTTAACGCTAACCATTTCACCTGTTATCTTGTAAAACCATATTTAAACTTTTCAACAAAACCCTCATTAGGCGTCGTGTTAACGAGTCGAGGGGGGATATCCTGATGTGCGATAACGAGAGGGGGCCCACACCGCTAATGACACGTGATGAGGGCGCGTGATGGCAAACACGAGCGCTCAAATTGAGTATTATTGACACACACACGCGCGCACACAACCTGGAGTGGAAAATAATTAAGTAATTAGTTTAAGCGTAAGAGACACTAATAATCAGGTGTAGATAGTGGTAAAGTACATAGCTGTTGATGTTAATTGCAGCGCTAATTAACATTTCGTAATCGAGAACTCAGTCCAATCATTAATTTTAGCGGGGAAAAACCACTACTTAATATGGCACAATATTTATCACACGCGTTCGACTGTTAACCCGCAAGTCTAGAGTTCGGATCCAGGATTCGATTGCGAACGACGTACCGGACTCCATCCAGCTCTGATGGGTACCTGACTCCAGTTATGGAAAGTAAAGGCTACTGGGTATAGTGTTGGCCACACTATCCCTTCATGCCGAGGTCACTTTAAATTGTATTTGACGCTAAGAATGAGCAACAAACAGGAGACTTCAAAGTCGTCCAAAAAACAAAACAAAAACACTTTATGGACAACAAGCGAACAAGAAAAATGGGACTAAGAACGATCAATAAACAACAAATGGGATTAAAGATGACCAAATGAAAAATAACAGTATAAACTTCAAGAGTCCACTCAGTCTCCGCTCACCTACACAAGAAAAAGAAACGTTAAAAAAAGAAAAGATGCTATCCTGCACACATTACTCTACTCTCACATCATCATCAACAATATGGTTCCAGCTCTACTCTACTCCACTCTATATAGCCCCTCCCCACACCACTAAGTGCCACCACCCTCCCCAGCACCTGTCTGTCATAAGAACCTACTCCGGGAGACACGCGCGCTTAAAAATATTTTCCAAACCGTTCTTTTTTATATGACACCTTCCCAGAAGGAGCTCTCTGCGCATGCTCAGGTCGTTCCGCTGTTTCCTCCATTACCGGTGTGGCACTTAAATGCTTTAACACGGGGACCGCTGTCGTTCCGCTTCGATAGATAACTCACAATCGATTTGACCAAAAATAAAAAACCAACACATTTTGTTTTCTATTATAGTTTGACAACCGGAAACAGGTTTGCGGTACAAGGGAAATTGCCGTTTACAGAATGGGAACTGGGATAAGTTAACAGAATGGGAGCTGGGATAAGTTAACAGAATGGGAATTGGGATAAGTTAACAGAATGGGAGCTTAAGTCAACAGAATGGGAGCTTAAGTCAACAGAATGGGAGCTTAAGTCAACAGAATGGGAGCTTAAGTCAACAGAATGGGAACTGGGATAAGGTAACAGAATGGGAGCTGGGATAAGTTAACATAATGGGAGCTGGGATAAGTTAACAGAATGGGAGCTGGGATAAGGTAACAGAATGGGAGCTGGGATAAGTTAACAGAATGGGAACTGGGATAAGGTAACAGAATGGGAGCTGGGATAAGGTAACAGAATGGGAGCTGGGATAAGTTAACAGAATGGGAGCTGGGATAAGTTAGCATAATGGGAGCTTGGATAAGTTAGTATAATGGGAGCTTAAGTCAACAGAATAGGAGCTGGGATAAGGTAACATAATGGGAGCTGGGATAAGTTAACTAAATGGGAGCTGGGATACGTTGTGTGTATGACTTGGTGTGAGATGTGTAGCGGTTTTATAAAGTTTGGTTGGAAATGTCTATAGCTGTCGCTGTTAGAGTGTAACAGAACAGGCTGGGTGAACACAAGACAGTAGGAGAGAGGTGTTGTGTATAGACAACAAGAGGTGGGGAGGGGGCGGGGGAGGGGGGGGGGGGGTCAGTTTGACCAGGGTAGAGGTGTCGGGGTCACAGAAGTAAAGGTGGGACTTTCTAAAGACGACCAGAAAACTGATGCGTCGCTCAAGATTAGAGCGTTGTATTTTTTTTTATCAGCGACCGTTAACGATTGTATGTGGGATGGGGGGTAAGTATTGTATGTGTAGTATGGATGGAGATTGTATGTTGGGGAAGGGTGGTTGTCTGAACGTTGAGAAAAAAAAATATTTTCCTAAAATCATCGATAGTTTCATCAGCACCACTGCCCGTCACACTTGCTGAGATATGGGCCGCCAACGAAGGACCTCAAGAGTTCTCTGTCCTGTGCCATCAATAGTTAGCTCTTATAGTTTGATATCGCGGATATCTCATCCAACATTAACCCTTTTACACCTCAAGTCATAAAAAAATATCTAGATATATCCCCGCGTGGTACCTGCAAAGCTATTTTTAAATATCTTTCCGAGCAATACACGCGTTATAAACAACACGTTATTCGTATAACAACTAAAAAAATATTTTCCTCCTTATTTATAGTTTCGCGTGATTTGTTTAACAAATCAGGGAATAAAACCATCTCCACGAGAGAATCACATTTAAAATCAATCAACCCTTTTTGCCGTTTGTTTCTCTGAACGTAGTGCATACACTGGGTATGCTACAAAAATATGGTAGCACGTTAAAGTAAATAGTGTAGGTGGCAGAGGTGGGTGCATATGGTAGTTGGGGGGGAGGAGGGTGAATGTTTTGGGGGTGAATGTTTATACACGTGTAGAGAGTCGAATCCTAGAGGCGGAGGGTGGGTCTACGATTATGCGTAGAAAGCAGATGCGTTTTCATCAGTCCATATTATATACATATACATATAAACATATAAATATATATATATATATATATATATATATATATATATATATATATATATATATATATATATATATACATATAAACATATACATATACACATATAAACATATACATACACACACACACACACACACATATATATATATATATATATATATATATATATATATATATATATATATATATATATATATATATATATATATATATATATATACATATACATATACACATATACATATATATACATATATACATGTTTTTCATTTAATATAGATCGAATTCTCTCTCTAAACGGAGATGCGAAAGATCCCTTTGTTTCTGGTAGAGAGGAAAGACATTTTCTTTAAAATAAATCGATGTCCGAAAAATATTTTTTTAAAGAAGATAAAAATACAGGGGGGGGGGGGCAGCTGACAATGGACGAAAAAAAAACATAACGTAACCATGGGAACGCTAAAGACGGATGTTGAAGATGGAGAGAGAGTGAAGGCCCTTATCGGATGGAGGGAAGCAAATGACGCTTTAAGACAAAAGAAAAGCAATATTGAAAACCGTAATGGGGAATGGATTGTGTTTACGCTAATTTTCTGCCAAATTTCTCGGCATATTGTGTTTGTCTTTTAGCCATAATTGGGTTATGTGTTTGGTTATAGATGTAAAATGGGGTGAGGTTTTTTATTATGTATATACAATCTTTGTTCTTAGACACATCAGACGAAAAGGGAAAAATTAGGAAGATAATTTTTCCAAATTTTTTTTAGATGTTTATCTATATATCAACGTATACACGGACAAATAGCAGATACAATACTTTCATAATAATATATTTTAATAAATTTGTTATTTCATCCAATTTTTAATCCTCTGTTGGGAGCGGAAATCCTCACAAGTTTATTAGGCAACCTTTGCGTAGCCCGCAAATAGAACTGTTCTGATTACTGCATATAAAGATGGGTACCCACATGAAGCTGAGTTGGCTCAGAGTCGTCTAAAAGCATAACATAACTATCTATCACATGAGGATTAGTGTCCAAACATTAAGTAAATCCTAAGGCACATCAGTAAGGTCACTTTCTATTTTATCATAGGTTAGTTTTCTGTTATGTAGATTTTACAAAACATATTCAGTAAGGAAGCTTATGGGAACTTGTTCAAAACTATCAGAGGGTTATTTCTTTATCAGCTGTTTTCTAATATAAGATTTAGTATGGAGGTTTATATGAACTAGCTCATTTTTTTTGTATGACCGTGAATTGGCCAGATATTTATGTTTTCCTGAGCTAAAGTGGCCAAATTTTAAACATTTTTGCCTGAGCTTTTAAAGTGGCCAGATTTTATAAATGTGTCAGATCAAAAAATGGCCAGATTTAAAAAAAATATTTCCTCAGCTTTAAAAGGCCAGATTTAATTTAGGTTTATCAAAGCTAAATCAAAGAGATCAGATTTTGTAAACTTTGTGTCAGATCTTTAAGTTGTCCAGATTTAGCTCACCTGTGATGGCGTAAGACAGCCTAGGGCTTTCCCCCTCCACTTGGTCGCTGACCATGATGACCATCTGTCCCGGGGGGTCGCTCTCGGGGATGTTCTCGTGGAAGATTTTCTGCCGGAACCGAGGCTTGACCCTCGATGACGTGGGCTTGGACTTGACCTCGATGATGAGACGCTGTGTTCGGTTTTTGTGTACGGTGGCTCCGCTGTCGGTGGCGCGTACCTAAGGGAAGTACCAAATAGGTTTTAATTTTTTAAATTTTAATACAATTGTTTTTTCTCTAATCCATGGCTTGACACATTGTCTCTAGTCGGGTTTTTTTTTTGGTTTTTTTTTGTAAAAAAAATATTAATTTTTTTAAATTTATTTTTTTTTTCTGCCTCAGACATGTAATTTATAGCGTCAGTTGTGTGTTCGCTTTAGTATTACAGTTTTCATCAATGATGAAAACTGTAAAAAAAATATTTAAACCAAAGCTGCGTTCGACTTATAGAGAAGGTGGCAGTATATTAAAACCTTCATCCCCATGTTTCAATTAATGTGCAATGCTCTTAAATAATGGTATCAAGTACATTGATTTTAATTTTTAATTATTTTTTGCCATTCACCCTAGAATTCGCTTTTTGGACAAAACACTTCTCAACAAATCAGGTATATTTATTTTTATATTTCAAAAAAGATCTCTTGTATCTATAAAATATCTCTTGTATATTTTTAATAAAGAGATTTTCCGAAGGTTTGTCCCCCCTTACTTAAGGAATCTAAATAAGTATTTATTTGTAATTTCGTGCTGTATTTAATCAAATGGGATTATTTTCTGATTTTTTAAAGCAAAAACCTACAAAGTCTACTGCAAAAGCTGATGTGTGAATATCTACTATATATTATATGGAATGTATATTACAAGGGTAATTATATGGAATTTTTAAAAAAAGGGATGTAAGAATTTTCAATAATGCATTGATAGAGTAAAGATAAGACATGCATACATACAGAAAATTGTTTAATAAAAAAATAGATTATATATGCCATATTTAATAAATTTTATATATATATATATATATATATATATATATATATATATATATAATAGTTTATAAATATTCTGTATTTATTAAGGTGGCTATAAACCAAAGCAAAGTAGATCTACATAATATAGTTTTCTCTAGTCTATCCATACCCCCCCCCCCTAGAGCCACCTATGACTCACCCCCATTTCGAACTTCCTATCGGCGACCAGGTCCGCCGTGGCGTAGATCTTCCCGCTGTACCGGTCAATCCTGAACGGCCGGTCCTGGGCGTTGGTGAACTCGTAGGTCAGGTTGGCGTTCCGGCCCTCGTCACGGTCGAAGGCGTAGGCGCGGTAGACGAAGAGGTCGCTCCCCGTGTGGGGGGCGGCGAAGACCGTGACGGTGACGCGCTGTCCCTTCTGGATGAACTCGGGCCGGTTGTCGTTGTCGTCCACCACCTTGACGATGATGCGGGTGGTGGAGGATAACGCCGGGGTGCCGTTGTCGGTTATCGTCACCTGGAGGGAAGGGAGATGTTGATAAACTTTAAAAGGGAGAGCAATCTTAAAAGTATACAGTAATGAAGAGAATATAAGTCATAATACAAAATAAAATAAATCGTGCATTTTAATGAAGAATATTAAAAATGAAATAAAAAATATAAAATAACAAAACTTTGAAACGATTTTAAAAACTGAGATGATTTTTTAAAGATTGTAATAGATGTATATATTTTTAAAAAAACTATACTGAGCTTTGCAACTGTGACAGCAAAAATAAAACTACAGCCCTTTAAAAATAACAATGATAGCAAATATAATGAAGTCGATAAGGGTGAGCTAACTATAGTTGGGATTACACAAGGTAAAACGATAGGAAAATGAATAAATAAATGATATGGAAGTGCATGCACTTGAATAGCACTAGGTCATAAGGTTTTCTCAAAGTCTGGAATTATTTTGGAGAGTCACAGGATTTCAAAGTCTGTGGTTATTTCAGAGTGTTGTAGGTTTGAAAACTCTCGAAATATGTTAGATAATTGCAGGATTTAAAAGTCTTGAATTATTTTAGAGTGGTAAGAGTTTTAAAAGTCTAGAAATATTTAAAATAGTTACATGATTTCAAAGTCTAGAATTATTCTGGAGAGGTAGGCTAAGGCCTAAGGGTATGAAAGTATAGGAATATTTTAGAGATTTACAAGTTTAAAAATTCAAGTATTAGTTTTTAGAGAAGTAGGCCTAGAGTTATTTTAGAGAGCTGCAAAATTTAAAACCTCAAGTTTTTTTAGAGTTACAAACATATAAAAATTCAAATTCATTTTCACTAAAAAATTTCATCTCTGTTTTCTATTAAAATTACAACTTTTACATTTGATCTAAAAAAAAAACAAATAACAAAAAAAACAACAACAACAACATGAAATTGAACATAATTTTGAACAAATTACTTGTAGTAAAAATATGAAAGTTATTTTTGTGTTGATGAAAGCTATTTTCTGGAGAGATAAAAAAATCAGGGCATTTTGGTAATGAGTTAATGCTAATGGATGTTGGCAATATTTTAAGTAATTCGTTGGAAAAAAAAACCATAGTGTAATACATTAGTTTAAAATATTGAATTTTATATTTTGAGAGATTGGATAGAAAGGAGAGAGAAAGTAAAGGAGAGATAGACAAGGAGAGAGGTTAAGTGAGAGAGGAGGGAGGGAGGGACAGAGAGACGAGGGAGAGTCAGAGAGTGGAGAGACAGGGGGGTAGTAATGTGTGAGATAGGGAGAGATTGTGAGAGGGAGATGGAGAGAGAAGAAACATCCCTATGGAAAAATTGAATAAAGTGGCAAAGAGTGTGAGTATGTAGTGTGTGGGGAGTGTGAAAGTGTGTGTTTGTGTGTGTGGGGGGGGGGGGGAGGGCGTCTGGAGATGGTTGGGTAGCCTTTTTAAAACAGGTTGGGGTGTGTAGCTGAGCGGGGATGAGGAGGAGTCGTGTGGTAATGCCTGGAGTGATGTAGAAATGTGGGTGGAGGAGAAAGGAGGCAGGGAAGGGAGGAGGTAGACGGGATTTTAAAATGAGATTTCCTCCTGTTTTTTTTTCCAGCCCATTTCATTGTCTAAGAGTTTCTCGTGGAAAACATAATAGGAGTTAAACGCGACGTGATGTTCCCAAGACCAGGCAGCAATCTTCTGTCGTGGAGTTGTCTTCTCTTCATCATTGAGTTGTTTACCCTTGAGTTTCCTCAGTTGTCTTCTCTTCATTGAGTTGTGTACCCTTGAGTTTCATCAGTTGTCTTCTCTTCATCACTGGGTTATCTACCCATGAATTTTTTCAGTTCTCTTAATCTCCGAGTTATCTACCCATATGTTCAATCAGTTCTCTTCTTATTGAGTGATCTACACCTGAATTTCATTACTTGTCTTTTTTCTCAACTTTGTGTTTTCTACCTTTGTGTTTCTTCATTCAGTTATCTCCCCTATTATTTTATCAAAGCGTTATCTACCCATAGGTTTCCCCGATTCTTGATTTTTTTCAGAAATTTCTCTCAAAACCACGTTATTTCTCATCAATTTTTATTCTTAAATATTTTTCTTACTTGGGCCTAAATTAACGTTTTATAATAGTTTCTCCGCGATTTTCATTTCCCACTGATATGACAAAAAAACTCATGTTACTTTCATCGGGCAGACATTTTTACTATCGCTTTTCTCCATTAATTCACGACTATCCCCAGCGACCCCTTTTACCATCCCCCGACCCCCTTCTACTTTCCCCCCGACCCCCTTCTACTTTCCCCCCGACCCCTTATTACTATCCCAGACTGAACCCTCTTACCCCTTAGACCAACATCTTTACAACCCCGATCAATCAGAGGATGAAAGCGCAATCAAGCAGGATGATTGCTTGACCATTAATCAGACTAGCCAACCCCACCGTCTCTCCACTCTAGGCTCGACATACCGATCTCCGATACTTCGGTTTATTTAAAAACTCGAATCGCCAAAAATAAATCGAGGAATGAACGAAACAAAGTAAGAAACGATAAAAGAAAGGAACTTAAATTTTTGTTTGCAGACGACAACAAATAAGTCAAAACTTAATTACATCCGGTGGGGTCAAGTAAAGCAGACGATTTACTTCGATACTATTCGAACTTTTTTAAATGGTGTATTCGAATACTCATCTTATCGTATATCACTGTGATGGTATCGTTTTCAAGATTAGTTCTGATGGGAATCGAATCATCGAGAACTTGAGAGTGGCCATTCTCGCCGATGACCTTGTAGAGCTGGACACTGGTAATGGCGGCGGTCAAAGATGGCGGGTTATTTCAATGTAGTACGGCGGGGACAGCCGTCCAGGAAGTGACGTCAATGAGAGGTGGGGGAGGGAGGGATGTGTCTTGATTGAAAAAGGGCGAGTTTTGATTGTAAGAGGTTTTACCGGGTCTGTGGGGGACCTTAAAATATTTAGTGGTTAAAAAGTGGTTGTTGGTAAAAAAAAATAATATCGGGGGCGGGTATGTGTCGGTGTATGTCTCTGTGTGTGCGTGTTTGTGGTCCTAAATAATATGGAGGAGGGTTATGTGTCGATGTGTGTCTCTGTGTGTGCGTGGTGGTTAGTTAAAAATATGGAGGGGACTTTGTCGGTGTGTTCTCAGGGTATGTCCACATGTGTCTCATACATAATATGTTTAAAAATAATCGTTTATTATACGGACCTGCTACGTGAAGATAAGTTTTTATGTATAGAAATGTGGGAAAAGGGTGGGATTGTGTAGGAAGTGGGTGGGATTATGTGGGTAATGGGTGGGATTTTGAAGGTAGTGGGTGGGATTATGTGGGTAGTGGGTGGGATTATGAGGGTAATGTGTGGGCAGTGAATGGAATTTCGTAGACAGTGGTCGGGATTATGTCACCTACGGGGGGCTGGGTTTACGTGAGCAGAATCGTATGGTCAATGTACCAGCAGTGAATCGGATTGTATCAGCAGTGGCTTACTGTCTTACGCTGCAATACCTGCTTGGGTGGGCGGTGGTATTCCAAGTTTTAAAGGTTGAATCTTGGACTGTATAAACGTTACCGAGAGATAACGAGTGTATGTGATGGTCCCTCAACAATCCGCTCTTGTACATTTTATGTATAAAATAACACCTCTACAGCTGGTTAATAGTCTACACGGTGAACTTTAACCTCTGTAAGTAATGTAAATATGGAGGCGATATAAAAAAAATAAGGGGAGAGAACCGGGACACAGGGGAAGCAATACAGGCGGGGATTAAATAGTTGCTTTATTATCCCATTAAATTCATTAACACATAAAGCAGTTCGGGATATGGGGAGCGGACCGAGGGGGGGGGGGGGGGGGGGTAGAGTCGCGAGGGTTTTCCGCCCCGCACATCTGGCGGTAGTACTCACTCACTGACACTGACCTTTAGCTGGGGCTGGGTGTAGATGGGAACCGAGGCGTGAAATAATAATCAAGGTGAAAATAGAGTTGGGGGAGGGTGGGTGGGGGTATTTAGGAGATATTTGAAATAATTTTTTTTTAAAACTCGAAAACAACCCCGGAATCTAAATTCGAAATTTGTGTAAAAATAATGCTAAAATTGGGGACGGCGTGGCCGAGCGGTAGAGAGCTAGACTGCTAACCGGAAAGCCTCTAGTTTGAATCCCGGGCTTAAGTCTATAGGACGTAACCACCCATCTATATTGGGTACCTGACTTATGTTAGCGAAACTAGTCTCAAGTAGAATGTCCCTGAGTCAGGGGCGGAACTACAGTGCCGCCAGACCCCGCAATGCGGGGGGGCCCACGCCATTTAGGGGCCCAGAGCCGACCATTAATACATTTTTTTATAGTTAGAAAAAAGTAAATTTTCTTTCATTTTTGACTTGATGGTTGTTTTGTAAAAAATTACCGTAGCTGCAGTTGGATTATCTTTATTCTATAGACACCACCCCACGCTCTTATATATTCTTTTCCCTTATTTTTTAAACCACTTTGTAAGCCGAGTCTTTCTCCTACAATTAAACTTATCAGAGATAAGCAAATGTTCAAACCACTTCCATGACTTATTTCCCTTTTTGTACAAATAGTCTAATAAGGGTGCTCATAAGCTCCTTTTAATAGATTTGTACTGAACAAATTAAAACGCAATTATTTGTCTTAATTATTATTTTTTTTATAAAGTAATTACCAAAGAATGATATTGTATAAAAAGGAGATGTACTAAAAAATAATATTTTAAAAATTAATAATATAAATACAAAAAAACATAAAAATAAACATAACACGAGACACCATTAGTTATACAAAGCTTTCATGTTTTATATTATTTTTGACTGACTAAATGTTAAAGGCGATTATATTAGACATTAATTCAAACTGATTTTCACAAAACACATTATAACGTTTTGTATTAGATCTAGATCTATGTATAAGTAAACCATCTTAAATGAATGAAAGAAGGCTACAAGTAAGAAAGAAATATTACTATTGTAAATCTGTATCAGTCCTCACAAGCC